TGATTATTCATTAGTCTTTATATTAATTCCAATTCAATTTTTCAATGACTATTTGGTAATGAACTTATATTAAAGTTTATTAATAAATATTGTAAGTAATAAAACTAATATATAGACCTGTGAATCCATAGTACAGTAGGTATGCTCCCAGGTTTCCAAACACATGTCTCTGGTTCAATATCCATAGGAAACAATTGCATAAAAATCATCTTTCATTTGTGGATTTATTGGTTTTTTTACAGATGTCATATTCAAACATCTGGATCTAGCCAAATTTAGTTAGGCTGCATAAAAATGGGATCTCTGGTTTTTTTGACAATCATGAGCTAAAAACAGGTCGAAGCAGAAAAGGTTGTACAAGGAAAGATTTCTGATCTAACTCCGATAAAAAAAGTCCATAACCCCCTTGGCACAGCAGACTCTGTTGCACAAAGAATACTCTAGCCTGGAGTTATCCCAATCTGATGCTTGCTTAAAAGAATAGGACTCCAAAAAGGAAATCTGAAGTCACAGGTGGTGACAAAGAGTATAATATCTTTTCTAAGGAATCAGATGAAAAGTATTCAGGATATCCAGGTATTCTAATCATCCTTATAAGGTATACTAACTCTCTCACTTCATTGGATTAACAGGTTTAGATGGTTTAAACTGATGGCAGGATTTTCATTCCCTGGATTAATCCCACCTAATATGTGAATCCACCCTCAAGGTATAAGTTGACATAATTGGGTTAATGGTTGATATGTAAGCTATTATTAGAAATAGTCAATAGGCAGTATTAATTCTATATATAAAAGATATAGTAATGTATTTCAAATTGATAATTTCATATGTAGAAGATACTTGATGTTATATCTAGATATTATATATTAATAAAGATTCACATCAATACATGTTCACCTTAAAAAAAAAATAAAATAAAATAAAACTAATATATATAAAAACTTATCAAGTACATTATTTATTCTTTTAAATAAATATCTTATAATTATATATGCATTTATACAAATACAAGAAAAGATAAAGATTTGATGTAATTTTTCTGTTTTATATTTTTGTTTGATTAATTTAATAATTTTGATTAATCTTTCATATGCTTTATTTAATAAGTTTCATTTTATAATTTGACATATTAAAATTTGATATATTTTAACAAAAATTCATTAAAATTTAATAATCTACATTTGAAAAATATTTCCATAGAACAATAATTGTATATATTGTAAAAAAATTTCATCACTAATTAATAATAAAATTCAAGAAATCTTTGCCAATATTTGCTTTTCTTAGGATTTGTCCATATCTAATAGTACTTGAAATTCTTTTATTATTAACTGTATTTCATCCAATACATTATTTGTTAATATATTCTCTTTAATTCATATTTGTTTAACAAGCCATTTGTCAATACCCCCCAAAAAAACAATGTATAAGATCAATAACTAAATGTCAAATAGGATTAAAGTAAAGTAGGTAGAGAAGTTTTGATTACCTGACATGATTTTTGCTAACAAATTATTTTTGTATAGTATTAGAACTACAACTTCTTTATTCAATAGAATTTTATTTATAAGTTGTCAAATCCCTTGGTATAAACCATTTGTTTATATCATTTATACTATATATGTAGTATAAATTATTTTGTTATTGACTTAATTATCAAAATTCTCAAAAATAATTGTGTCTGGCTCAATTATTTTATATATTTTAATAGTGACTCAATTAATTGTGTCAAATAATTGTATTAAATTATATTAAGGATCTATTAATTTCTATCACATGTATAATTTATATCACTATAGTTATATTGATTGTTGATATAATTTGCTTTTTTCTTATAGTGATGACATGATATTAGTGTTGAAATATGTCTATATACTTTCATGCTATAGGAATATCACATGAAATTAAAATTAAAGTAGCTTAAATTATTTTTTTATTCTTATTTTTAGCAATAGAATCTAATATTATTTCTTGCCATAGTTGCAACAATTCATTTACAATTGATAAAAGATAATAATTTATTTGATACAAACTTGATTTATTAGGGTCTGATAATATATCAAGAATCAATATATTTTTATACTTAAATCATATTTAATGTGATAGATTAGCAATTGTTATATATGTATATAATATCAGTACTATATGTTTTGTTATTATATAGTTAAAACCAATCAATATTTAATATCAATCCTAAATATAAATCAGCTTTTCTTTGCTAAAAAATAATTTTGAATTTTTATTTTTGAAGATTTTTCAAATATTGCTATTATAAATATCATAAAGATATTTATCAAAATTTGATTAAATTGTTCAATGCTAAAGATTAATTCGAAACCTGGATTTTGATACTTTGTATTAATTGTTACTAAATAGTAATATAAGAGAAAATTAATTCTAACTAATTAATTATACTTCTATTTAATGATTTTAATTGTATAAATAATAAAGAATTGCAATATTTTCTTTGAGTTATGAAGTTTGAAAATTCAATATAAATATATTTTATGATAGATGACTGATTGTTTTATTGAAAATGAATTACTTCATCTTGTTTATATAACTTGTAACATTTTTGGCATGCTATAAAGCTAATGAATTGATTTGATAGTTCAAGAAAATTTTTGATAGTATATAAAGATCCATAGAAAGATTCAAATTCATTATTACTGATTTTAATTTTATAAACTTTAAAAGTACCTCTATTGTATTATCTGATAAATTAAATTTTATTTTAAAGTTCATAATCCATAATAAAATCCATATAAATCAGTTATTAATATCGATAAATTTATTTGATTCTGATGATTTGAAATCTAAAAAACCTGATACCGAATAATTTTTAAATAGATTATTTAATTTATCAAAAGTTATATTATTATCTTCAGTAATATTGTCATTAAAAATATTGATATTAAAAATATTATCATTAAAAATATCATCATCAAAACTATTATGATCTTGTATTAGGCTTTCCTAATCATCACCTAAAAATATATTTTGATTTTACCAAATGTTTTTTGTTTTGAATTGAAATATAAATTTTTGCTTTGTTATAACTTTTTTTTTGGATTTCCGATATCTATAAAAAAATTTCAGTTTAAATATCAATAAGTAATCCATTACATTTATCACAATTGTAGGGAATTATGTTTTTAGACTTTTTCTTAAACTTTTATTAAATAAAGTTAAAATTAAATACTTTCTTGATATTTAAAATGACTAAAATGAAAAAAGTTGTTTAAATTTCATATTGTTGAATCATAATGCAATAAAAGTATAATATAATATATATATAATATAATACGAATATATTATATTATATGAAAAGTATATAGTCAACAAATTATGTAATATATCAAAAATATAATTTTATAATACAAATAATTTTATATAAATATCTCTTTTTTTAATGAAATCTAAAATTAAAAATATTTAAACAAGCAAAAAAAATTTCAACAAAAAAATCCTATAAAGAAGAATAACTTTTATCATTTTTGTCATCTTTTTAATCTTCACAATCTTCGCAACCTTTACAATCTTTATAACTTTCACAATTTTTGCAACCTTTGCAATCTTTGCAATCTTTACAATCTTTACAATTTTCATTATCTTCACAATCTTTACAATCATAACAACCTTTGCAATTATAGCAATCTTCACAATCATAACAACTTTCATATTTATAACAATTTTTAGAGTCTTATCAAGTTTTGTTAGAAATTTAGGAAATAAGATTTCATTCAATATCACTTGGTATAGAATCTCTATTAACTTCCACTTTGGATGGCAATTGATTAAAAAAAGATCATCTGTCTAGTTTTCACTAGCATAGAAAGTTGATATAATAATTAAAAAAAGTATAAAATTAAATTAATATCAAATTATTAAATAAATCTTATCTTTACTAATCAACCGATTTATTTAGAGATTCAAATTAAAAATTTGCAAATAAAAGTTGAAGAGCTAAAAAAAACAAATATCAAATTAAAAAACAAGATCAATGTTTTAAAAAATTAAATAAAATCTTTAGAATATATAAATGGAGAGTTTACTATCCAAAAGAAAAAATTCAGAAAAAAAATAGAATATTTAAAAAATTGGCTCTCAAATCAGGATCCAATTGTTATAATATCTCTGAGATCTGGATTATTTGTAGAATCCATATCACCTGGGATATCTGTAGTATCAATAGAAGTCTCAAATGAAAATATTAGTAATAATAGTATTAAAGATTTTGATGCTAAAGATTTTAAAAATATTGAGCTGAAGATTATAAAAGTACTGAACATTGGTTAAATCCATAAGAACAAAGGTTTCAATTAGTTAGAGATACAAAGGGTAAAGCTCTTCATCACTAGACAATTCAAAGCCAGACCCAGACTTAGACAAGGATTCAGATAAGATATAGTTAATATTTTTTTTATATATTTTACACTTTCTAACCTTGATAATATGTGGATTTCCTATAGAATTTATAATGTCTTGTTGAATCTCGTTACATATTAAGAATCATATTATATTAATAATTAAATAAGTGTTTCGGTATTTAAATTAGATTACTGCGCCCGAACTACGTAACAACCTTATTTGTTGATCTTTCCCTCCAGACTCAATAACGGTTTAGTAATAATAATACATGTTCTTTTGTCACGTGCATTTGTTGTATATAAAAACGGAATCAATGAAATTTGTGATAATTACACATGATTCCGAAAATAAAATGTATGCACCATCTGCTTTTTTTAATTTAGTTAAATGAACATTTATGGTTAATAACAAAATTTCTTACAGGGGCTTTTGTAATTGGTTGCGCGATGATATACTGCAAAGACAGTAACCAGTTTTTGTATACAAAATCAGCTGCATTTAACATGATTAGTCATGGATTAGGTAAGGCGAGTTTTTTAGGCATACCCCGAAATCATTTTCGATCGTCACCAACAGGATCCTTTATACAAGCGAAAAAAATTTTTCGAATCTGTTTGATTCGAAAAATGTCGTCCCTCGTTCAATCCATATTTCATCCTTCTGAAATCGTCGCGATTTTATACTACTTGTATTCTAGACCTCCGCAAAAACTTAATTTAAATTCAGAAAATAAGTCTAAGATACGATGTTATGAATTTTTGAAGCAAACTTCTCGCTCTTTTGCAACCGTTATTCAAGAATT